CAACGGGAGGTCGTACTCAGTTGAGCTTGGAGGGGGGTCGTACTCTCTCGGTGGCCGACAGTGGGATTCTTGGTAATATCGGATAATAGCCAGCACGTTACGTTTTCGTAAGATGACTGGTACTAGAGCATCTATAAACAACGCTTCCCTCTAAATGAGCTTTCGAATGAATCAGCGAATTAGAAGGGCGCCCGAGGCGTGGCGCGCACCAAGGCAAGGGATGTAGTGCAAGCGCATGCTCGGAGCTTTCTAGCACATCCTAAATTAAACATAAAATTGGTCTTCCAAGAAGTTACGGGCAGTGAAACCTAAGAAAACTCGCGTTTTCGAGAAAATGGCTTGAAGAATACCCCTCAAAATAAAAAGTAACAACGGGACTAATTTTTGAACTGCTGATCTTTCAGGAAACGCTTTGGGTGCTCGTTAGAAAGCTTGAATCCTGTAGTTTATACGTGTTCAGCTTCCCAAATGAATGACTTTGAAGGAAGTTATGATCGTTTGAAGGTCAAAAAGTCGCTTTGCACAGAAAAAAGTAACAACGTACTAAATTTTTATTAAATTAACTTTCGAAGAATTTTTACCCATGGTTGGAGAGAGAATAATTTGAATTTTCCAAATCAAATCACTTCGGCGCAGAAGCTCGAATATGAAGGAAGTTATAGCCCTAGAAAGAGGAGTGTAAAAATTCGTGTTTCAATTTTATTTTTTGCCTAATAACTTATTCATTCCGAAGTGTTTGAGAACAAATGAGCACTCGTTAGGAAGGAGGAGCCACATCGATCCAAAATCCACCTAAATCTTCCGAACTACCTGAAATGTAAAAAAGAAAAACTCCTCGAATTTTTCACACTCCCCGTTCGACGCCTCTTGACCGTGAGCAAATGCGCTCCACCGTCAGGAGGCTAGGGACTTACGTAGCAATAAATAGTGATGGCAACACTGCCTCTACACAAGTGTTACATACAAGGGGGTCGTATCAAATCACCCATGAAGGGGGGGGGGTCGTAAAAAATTTCCAAAGCGTAACAAAGATAGGGTTGACCCTGGGCTCGTAGGTTCTAGGCCCATTCCTCCGTTTAGTGAAAGTAGGCGCATCTCCGCGGTTCTGCGCCTTGCAATCTTTTCGCAGGAGGGTTATTCCGGCCGTCGAATCGCAGGGGAGTCCATTGAGAACACAAGTATAATGTACCTATGGGAGCTTATGTATCTACCTAAATCGCCGCTACGTTTATTCGTTCTTCAAATTGTCACGGGTGCATCTGCCACCATCGTGAATAACTACATTTAGGTACTACCCATACACCGCATTTCGTCCTGGGTTGTGCCTTTACCTAAGATTTCTAGCCATTCACCCTTAACCCGCGTCGGTCAAAAGACCCGCATTGTACCGCCACGGCTAATACGGTGTTGCAAGGGATGTAGTCAACACTACGTTCGCATTGTGAGATACCGTATACATTCAGAATCGCATACGTCTACTCTAGAGTGGTGCGTGGAAATGCGTTATGCTTACATGGAAGGGATATATCTAATCAAAGTCTTTGCCCTTTTTCCTCACATTATTGCTTTTATTCCTTATTTCTTAGGCGTGAAAACTACGAGTTACTTATAACATCTTTATGATTTCGGAAAGAGTGGCAAATAAGCAGTTGCGCAGTTTCCCACTTACGTCGTATATGGGGGCCATATATCTACCATAAGCCAATATCAGATTGACTTGCAAAAGCTATAGCACTCTGGAACACTAACTTAGGAGCAATGCCGCGTCCATTGGCTTCCTCTATGTGCCGACATTATTCAGACTTCTTGACTCACACCACGCTCACACTGAAATCTTTCTCGCTCCTCAGAATTCGAAACAAATATTCACTAAAATGTATTTCATGCTTCTGCATATCACCTCAACTGAAATGAAGCGGAGTCTTCAGAATCTGATCCACCAAGAAACCACTGAAAGATGTTACGTTGGAACTGAGCAGAAACTCACAATTGAATGCCAGTGTTATCGTTGAAGACCGAGTAGGAGTCAACGAGGACCCGAGTCCCCTTTCGAATAATGGTCGCTCCAGGTGGGATTGTCAGATCAGCTTGGATTTCGGCTCCAAATGAGTTTTGAACGCAGTGCCTCGGATAGAGGACCTGAATTAGATCAACCTTCCTCTTTCTGAGATCGATGCATTTGCGCACCGAGCGCTTTGTTTTGCAGATTTCTCTCTATACTGATTTTTTTGCAAATCTTCAGATTTTGAAGAGATGAACACCTTGTCCACCAGATCTAGAGCAATTTCTAACATGAGGTCGTACTTGTTACTCTTGAAAAAAATTGATTACTCTTGAAAAAAAAGAGGCTGCATATGACAAAATTGGGGTGGGGTTCGAAGAATTGGTGCGAAAGATTCTTTGAAATGGAGTTATATGATACTTTGAATCAACTTTCAATTTGCAATCTTCCTGATTGTTGCCGTTTCAGTAGTTATATATTAATCTCGCAGCTTTCTATGCTTGATAAGGCTTGACCATGCATGAGCTTTCAGAATCCAGTCGAATAAAACAGCATAGAGTGCAGCAGATTATGCTTTACCGCAGTCCTCATTTGTGCTTTGAGCCGTTTGTACATCTCACTTTCGAGCGTAAGGCGTCTATTAGGTACCGGATATCTTAGTGTCGCTTTTCTGAGTTCAGGAAGTTTTGGGGCCGATTACTATGGAAAATCAATATCAGAAAGTCCTTTTTGCTCATTAATACTGCGAAATATGTTGCTTATTGTTTTCTATTGTTGGTTCACAATTTAACTTTCCCCCAATTTTTATACTTTTTTGAAAATTCCTGGGTCCAGTGTGCAAATTCGCATGTGTGTACCAAATGCTTCAAAATTCTTGCTGAGAGCTACAACTTCCGCCCACCAAACCAACATTGCATTTGTTGGAGGGAATACTACCATTTTAAAATGCTCATCGGTTTTTCACAGTTTTCTCAAAAGACAGTGAAGTCTTTGAAGTGATGCCCGCAATCGTCGTCAAAAAGGTGGCCCTAGTTAAATCAGTCGAGACGGGGCTGCACCAGTCTTGTGCTGAAATGGTAGGACACCTTAGCAGTGACTGATCGATGATGCACAAACGCTTTAACGAAGTTGATTGCACAAGAAATTCTAATAAATGTGCTCATCTGCTACTCACGTGTGCTCAAAAAGGGTGCGTTTTTGACCCTATGTGGCAAAAAAGACTCCGGGAAAAATTGTCCAGTTGAGCTGGTAAGTTATAACTTTTCCACCATACAGTGCAGACCCTACTCTAACTAACTGTATACTTCTTTTGTCCAGGCCTAACTTTTAGCAAGTGAGAGGGATGATTTGTCAGATGATGTCAAAACCGACCTACCTCTCTTTTTCGACTCAAAAAATTCCTAGCTTTAATCGTACGAGGTTTCCACTCATACTGGTAAATGGGAAAGTGCTAATGAGTCATTCGATGAATATGCTGTTTCACTCCCTGGATTCTGAATTAAAATATTGGTGGTCCGAAACTCGTGGTGAAAAAACGACACTAAGATATCCGGTACCTAATATTACCCCACGTTCATTACGCGCAACTCAACCTGCATGCCCTTTTCGCAAAAAAGTAATAGATAGCGTTGATGAGTCGAAGGAAAAGATGCCAAGCGCAAATGGCAAAGGAGTTGAATTGTTCTGAAAGCATTATACGAAGTTATACGATTCTGGGGTGGTTTCCAAGATTCTCGAGCAGGATGTGACATTACAGTATTCGGGCGTTTTTTTCCTGAACATGACTTGCCTAGACTCTGGAAAGGGAAATCAGAAATCTCAAAAGAACATTTTTTCACAGAGTTTAATTAGTTAGTTTAACAAGCCCTGATCAAATTGGTGCGGCAACAGTGGTCGATAATGAAATTAGGAATTTTGATCTACTAGAAATGAAAAAGGCAAAGCAAACCGCAGCTTTCAAACAAGACTTTTCTCTATACCTTAAAATGAGGGGTGTGCTCGGACGAGTTGTCCGCTCCTGTTTCCTCCTCTACCCGACGCGTTTTTGAATCAGCCGCTACGCGTAAAGTCACGTGGCGTGTCTTGGGTGTGCTCGAGGCATCTCGCCCGTAAC